ATTATTATTATTGCTTCCTTGTCATCAGTAGTGACTGTGCTCACCAAGATAATGCTTGAGGCCAGTCAAATTTTGTGTTTTTCCAAGTACAGCATGGACAGAGAGGAATAAATGCTTGGTGCTGGAGGTGTTCACAGACTCTAAAGGCAAGGGGATACACATTGGTTGGACAAAGATGTATCACACAAGCAAAATGATGACAGCTTCATAACACACTGGTTTGTTTCTGTGGAATGCTTAGCCAGCTTTAGCCAGCTAAAAGGAAAGAAATTTTAGGGGATAAGGGACAGATTGAGAGAAGGTTGGGGACGAAAAGCACATGCATGAAGGGAGACTGAGGTGAAGATGGTGAGGAGTTCAGAGTCTCTGGTTCTTGCTCTCCTGAGGCACCTAACCACTTCTGTATAAAACTAAAAGCTCTAGATCATTATTCACTGAAGCTCTTCCTTCTGACTCTGTAAATTATGAAAATTCAAAGGTTAATGAGTGCATCGGAACCCTGACACCCTCTGCTTGTGGGGCTGGACTCTGTCTGAGCTGGGAATGATCATGAGTGCAGTCCTGTTATTTTCCTCTTAGGCATCTTAATACATTTCCAGAGCTGTGTAGTGGCCCAAGAGAACCCAAGTGGTCTTGTGTGTCTTTCTTCCTCTCACACATGTATGCACAGTGCTTTGCATTTGAGGATTTCAATAGGCTTTGTGTCGGTGAACTCTCAATAGAAAATCATCAAGAGAACTAGCCCTTTGGCAGAGCATAATTATCAGACAAAATACAGGCTTCAGCACATAATTGAGTGAAGGAACTTTCCTGCAAGTATTTAAAAAAATACTTGTAGTTACAGTATCTATTCAGTAAAACACAGAGAAGCACGTGGTTTAAATGAGAATTACAGCTTCACAGAGAATGTTACATAGATGGCCCTTTAAAGAAATATGCCCAAAACAACCAAAACCAAAGCCTCACTTCTTTGAGATTGTCATCTAAAACCAGACCACACAGATTTTTTCCGGAAAGGTGAGAGATTCTTGAAGTCTTTGAGGGATCAGCATATGGGCCACAAATCTGACACCTGATTTTTATAAGTGAAATAAGATGTTTGGCTCACTCTGAAATACGGGGTAGGTAAAGAGTTTTACACAGCTTGCAGAATCTGGTGAGTTGTGTTGAAAGAAGATACAATGACTTTTCGCTGTAAAAAAGTGCTTTGAGAATTGGATTCCTCTTCAGTTCCCACTCCCAGATTCTGGTTTTGCTCTGTCATCACTGGAGATCAAATCTATTTTTCAGAATGTATGTGCTTGCAATCGCACCTTCAGCTGTCTTCTCTGTCACTAAATGGAGTTAGAATTCAGTGAAGGATTGAGTTGGTAATTTTCTCCCCCTGAATGTCTTGTGCAGTTGCAGAGATGCTGTAAAAACAAGGGCCATATTTCTCCAGATCTCATTGGGACAGAAAATAAATGACTCAAAGAGTTTAAACTTTTTTTAAGCTTTGTAGCTCACCTTTTCAAGTGTCAGAGGAAGTGCAATAAAGAGAAGACCTTTTTTTTTTTGTATTTAAACGAGGTTGGAATTTTCAGGTATAAAGGAGCATGAGAGCATGAACCTGCATCTGCTTGCTGCAACGAGGTCTCCTAAGACAAATGGCCTCTGAAGAGAATTTAATTTTCCAAAACCGACTTTCACGCAGCATGAGTGTCAGAGCAGATGGGAGCCATGAAGTCGTGTCAAACAGATCAGAGGGAAATGAGGCATGGAAAATTTAGTTATTTTGAGTAGCCAGGATAAGTTGCTTGTAAATGTATAGTTTTTAATTCCTCTTTGGTAAGTGGTCTGCTTATAAGTCTGAGGGTCATTTAAACTTTCCTTAAGTAAACCAAATTGTTCTTGTTTGTTTTACAACTTAAAGGACAAAAAACTCAAAGAACAAGAAAAGAAAGGGGAGATTCTTCACCGTCAGCTCCCAAAGAAAGCTGAGAAAAGTCCAGTTTCATATAGACAGCCTTCTTCCTGTCTTATCTCACAGATACAGAACACCAAGGCTCTGCTGAAGGACCGGAAAGTCACCAAGACTGGAGGTCCGGAGAAAGGTCAGTGGAAGAAATACCAGTGTGTGTCCCTGTGCGCATGTGCATGCGTAGGCACGCGTGGTATTAACGAGAGCATCTTACGTGTTGTGTGGCTGTTAGTGAATAGTTGTGGGCTTGCTTTCGCTGTCTGCTCTGGAGGTGGTATGTGAAAGAGGACGGGATAATGTAGTCAAACATTGAACAAAACGTCCTGAGGAAACCATGACAATGATTAGCTGTCATGAATCCTCGCTTTTACTTCTCTCTTTATTTGACAGAATTCCCACGGTGTTTTAAAAAAAGTTTTTTCCCTATTTATACATACTTAGACAAAATCATCTGCACTTCTCACTGGTGCTTTGAAAGTGTCAACACCCACCACAGATCACAGATGAAGCAAAGCTGGTAGACAAGCTTCTTCCTATCGGCGGTTGTGTTTTGCTAAGAGGGGACTAAGGGGCAACACACGAAGAAATCCCTGACTCCAATGAGGGTGTTGGTAGTGGTGGCATCCCTGAGAGAAGCACTGGGCAGCAGCTGGTGGTGGAAGAAGGGGAAATAGGCAGCTGAGAGGAAATGCAGGTGGGACTGGCGTCCCTGCCCATGACAGGAAGGTTGGATTAAATGATCTCTAAGGTCCCTTCCAATCTAGGCCATTCTATGATTCTATGATTCTGTGATGACTGCCAACCCCAGCAAACTTTAGGCAGCAAAAGAAGGGGGAAAAACATTACCAGGAGGAGGAAAAGACGAGACAGCCAAAGGAGAGCAGAACATTAATCGTGCAGGGTAGAAGGCAGCCTGGGAGGGATGGGTGAGAGCTGCTTGCAGAAGGAGGTGGAAGAAAGGATTGGAGGAAAAAGGAAATCAGTGGGGAAAATGAAGTGTCAGTTGTGTACATGTGGACAGGAGACACTGAGGAGCTGGAAGGGGATGTAGTCACCTGTTCAATGAAGGAATTAAACAAGCAGAGGACATTAAAGAGCAGGAGGGGGATGCACAGGAATATAAAGCATTTACTGTTTACTGACAGGTGACAGTTATTTAGAATGGTGGGTTATGGTGGTTTCACTCTCTGTCCTATGACTTGGTAATTTATCATTCGGTGTTCTCTATCTAAAAAAAAATGTCAAAGTGGTGTTTGCCCAGCAGCATAGACACCTCTGCTGCAAGGTAGCAGAGAGCTGGTCAGAAATGGGTCATACTTTTTGTGAAAAATGTAAGAACCATTAAAAAGTGCTCTTAAAAAGTGCTTTTTTTTTTTTCTTTTGAGTTATGTTGTTCCTGTAGGAAGAAGGAAAACAGGGAAGTAAACTTAGTTAATTTTTTTTTCCTCTCTAGGTTTCTCCCAGCTTTTTTGTTGTCAGCTAAACCGTTTCTCCAGTTGTGGAAAGTATGTTTTGACACTTCTTAAATAAAGTGATCAAATAATTTTGACCAGTTTTAGAAAGAAACTAGTCAGATTAAACCTGGTCTGCTTTTCCTAGACAACTCTCAATGCAAGTGATTTCATTCTGTACATCCATTCAGGTCTCAGCCCCTGCTGAGACCATTCATTTCAAAAGAAATGCATGTAAGATTTGTGGCTGTGACCTGAGGGCTGGCAGAGCTAAATTATTTTATATCCCTTTAGATGGTTTAAGACTGAGGCAACTCATGGACAGTGATTAACCGCTGGTCTGCGGTTCTTTCAGTTAGGGGGAACCTAGCAAAGTGGACTGCTTGGATAGTTATCCATAAAGGCAGAAAAGCATGTTGTCCTGTGACTGGCTTGATGTAAGTGAGTGCCAGAATCCTGTAGAAACCAAGGAGATCTTCACGAACTGTTTTGTTTTACCGGGCCAAACCGCACAAAGATTGTTCCATTTATCTTTGGTCCTTGCTAGGGCAAGGTTCTCGCTGAAGGCAATGCAGCAAATCTGTTCGAACTGTAACGGCCTGAATCTGGCTGGTACAGCTACTCCATAGTTACATGTGTGAAACCAAGAACAGATTTTGCTCCAAAATGCAAGTAAAGACATTAAGGATTAACTCCCTGTTTTACCCTGTGTCTCTAGCTATGTCAGTGAATACAGTACGTAGATCCAGTTAAAACCATGCAGAGTTGTGCTAAGAAGGGAGAAATGTGTGATTTCTCAGACATGGCCCGTTAGAAGATATAATTAATACAAACAGCTGAAGATGTCTGTGGTTTTCCATTTCATGTCCTTTCTTACTCTGTTTAAGCACTCTTCCTGCCTTGAGAAAAGCAGCAGATAGATTACCCATGAAACAACTACGTAAGTATCAAACGAGAGTCAGGGCATTGGGTTCCGAGTATATCCCTAAGACCATTTGTTTTACCTAGTGCATTTGTCACACTCTTCAAAAACTTGTTAAAGGTGATGTTGGATACTGTCTGCCCTGAGGCAGAGAAGGCAGTGCTATTAAATGCAATCTGCTCTTCTGGTTGCTTTTCTGATTGCTTTGCAGACTCCAGCGGTGGGGTAAGCCCTTTCCACGAACCTCTGGCCACGAAGACAGGCTGTGTCACTTCCAGCTCCCTGGAGTACCTCGAAGTCCAGCAGCCGCCTCCAAGAACGCCTCGGCTCCTCAAGAGGCAGGAGTCTCCGCAGCAGGAGCCAGCCCGGATCGGGGGCCGGGCAAAGGACTCTCCTCTCATCCTGAATATTGTGCACTCCTTCGAGTCAGTCGACAGAGAGGACCAAATAGACCAGGTTTCCCCCTCTCATCAGTACAGGATTTTAGGCTCACCTGTGAATTTCCCTTACAAAAGTTCAAGTGAAAGGACACTGTCCCCGCTTTTTCAGCCAGGGAGTACGTCCCCCATCCACCCCACCCAAGTCTCTTTCACGTACGAAGAAAAAGCGTATCTGGCAAAGGACGAAGCAGTGTCCCCTACTCAGCTGGTTTCTAACAACCCCTTGGGCAGCCCTAACTGTGTTAAAAGCAGAGGCAGATTCCCCATGATGGGGATCGGACAGATGCTGCGGAAGAGGAACCAGACAATGCAGTCAGCAAGCGAGAAGCCGCTGGAAGCGAGGATGCCTCAGCTGCAGCAAATGAGCCCCACGCAGATCTCCTTCAATGCAGCCGATGCCGTCAGCGGCCAGTGTTAGTCTGACATCCCAGGATTTGCACTGCTCATCTCTGGGACCTAATCTCTTTTACTTGTAACAAGAAGGGAAGGCCACAGGCACGTAACTGTCACTACATAATACACCACAGTAGTCCTACGTAGAAAATCAGAGGCCTGCTTGTAAGGAGGACGTTGTCCTATATATCAAAGTTGAAATAAAAGGGCTCTGCTTGTGCTGTTAAGAAATATTAGCATTTGGCATCTGACTATACACTAAAACATGTCTTGAAAGAGCTATGTGAATATGTATTTTCATTGCTCTCACCTGGTATTGCAGTAAGGTTAATTGGAAGAGCGACGAGCATCGACAGTTTGATTCATCCAGGTAACGTGCGTGGTGCCATGAATGCCAGTCCCATCCCGGATCTGTGGTGACTGCCCATGCTCCATCTGCCTGTGCCACATGGTACGTGGTGCTGCCCCGGGCATTGTTCCTGTGGCTAGACAAATGGAAAAACTCAAGCTACTCTGTCCAGAGTCAACTTGCTAACAAGCACTGCCAAGAAGGTGAAGCTGGTAGAAGTTTGAAAAAAGACATGAGTGATCTAAACGTTCAGTAGAAGTGGGAGTATTGGAAGTCAAAGCAGATTTTACGATTAGTTACATAAAGTAGCTAATAGTGGAATAATTTTTATCTTAAAGAAAGTGATGATTTAATGATGTCACTCAAAAAAACACGATTATTTAAAAACAAGTTTCATCTCATGGAAATTCACCACACTAGAGGCCTGCTCCTTTCAAATGATGGGTCTGTAAGTGATTGCCTCAAACAGCAATCCAGATTGCAACACGCTGTGTTTAAACAATCCAGTCACCTCTGATTTTTGCAGCTGTATTAATTCCATGGCACGCCTACGTGCAGGACTGTGTTAGCCCCTGTTACAGCAAGGCAGCCTCAGACACACCTGAAGGCTTCTCTGAGAGACTGCAGTGAATTAAAAAGACTAATAAAGGACACATGAACCTGTACCAATGCCGTTTTATACTACGAGGTTGGTAATACAGTGATTACCAAAAATCGGTATTGAGATGAGTGTTGGAGATTAACTTTCTTAAAATACACCATGTTCTGCATACTGTTCTCATTTTTCTAAGTAAATAATATATCTGAGAGGTTGGCAACATTTTTTAGTTCTGTTTTTGTCTTCAAACCATTTCCTATAAATTAGAAGGTTTAGCCAAAGACTGCTTTTTTCTTTCGTCTGTGTTTGTGTGCACAGGACATCTCAATAAAGCTTATTCCAGGCTGGTTCCCAAGCAGGCAGCCCTGGCCCACGTGTCCCTCCTGCTGCTGCCCACCCACTTACTGTCCTTTCAAAACCCAGGCAGCAGAGGCGTTGTCTTCTTCTTGGGGTTGTTGTTGGAAGACGGGGATTTTGCCTCGAGACCATCAGTAGGAATCTAAACCCTATTTTCGTCAGTATTTTTGCAAACAATTTTGTGGCCCCATTGGTTTGGTATCTTTGCAAATACTGAGAGTTACCAGTATTTGAGAAATTTTCCTTCCAGTTTCATGAGAGAGACACACTGGGACCGGGGGAGCAGGGCCATCAGAAGCAAGGGAGATGGTCCCCAGCACAGCCTGTAGCTGAGCACATGTTCCCAATTCTCAGCATAGCACAGGCCTTACACTAAAATCTGCAAGGAAAAAATTGGACAGTAATCCAACTACTGACAGAACAGATAGCTGATCTGTTCAGTATTTTGAATGGTTGCTGGTAAAACCACTAGAATGTTAATGCCCTGAGCACCCTTCTCATCCCGGCAGATGGGACCTTCACCTTGGTGCTGAAGCTGCCCATCAGTTCGATACAGTGGAGTCCATATGCGTCTTTTACTCTTCAGTGTAGTAAGGACATCGCCTCTGGGGTAGGTGATCTACCTGTAAAATAATATACATAAAAATCTCAATATAATAAAAATGCCTGGAAATAATTCTTCTCATTTTCAGATTGTAAAATGTCATCTTCTGTTTGTGCAGAGCACCTGTGCATCCCAGGGGTCCCTTTTAGCTGTTCCTCACATTTAAAAACATCAAAGCCTTTTCTTTTTTTCGTACTAAGAACATGTTTGCGCTGCAAAGCTAGTGAGCAGGGACCACTGAAATTCCATCTTTTGCGTGTGTTGGACTTGCATACCTGATCAGATGGCAGATACTGACTTGAATTACAAACTCAGGTTTATATGGAACCCAATAAAAGGTTGGGAGAGGCAGGAAAGAGACATATTTTTTCTGAAAACCAAGTAAATACGTGTAAGAATCAGAATGAAAACAGAAATGTTAAATCTTTTATTATATTTATAGAGAATATATGACACTGCTAAAGTATAACCATGTATCCAGCTTAGACAGTAGCTATGTACAGTCAAACTGCAGTGACCATAGAAGGGACTTGCTGAAATATAGCAGCGGAAATTCCAAGGGGAAAAAAATGTGTTTGTTATCATTATTAAATATATGTACTTTTTGAACAAGATTGCTATGGACTGCTGACTTTGTTTGCCAGGTCACTACGTAGCAAGGATTAGCTAAGTACAAAAACAACCAGCAAGATGGTGAGGTGACAAGGGGATTGACAGGACCTTTACCTTCACCCATCAAAGACCATCCCCTTGAATTTGGCTGCTGACCTGTCTATAAACCCTGAGTGAGCTAAAAGGCACAAAGTGGGATTTCCCTTGCTTAGTATTAGCCCTCTGAAAGTTGTACATCTACTCTCTGATCATTATCGGAGCTCTATTTTTCACCAGCAGAAGCTGATGGTGGGAATGAATTGCTCCTCAATAACGCATAGCTGTATCCAGATACAAGGGAAGGAATAGGGTTGGCCGGTCCAGGTGAGAATCCAGCTTTTAGACAGCCATCGGAATTCACCCCAATATAAACAAAAGCATTTGCTGATCAGCTTTCCACACCTCTGGAGTTAATGTCTTCAGGTTGTAGAAGCTAGTCCTACCTTTGCTAAGCTTAGCACAGCCATGCAAACCCGCGATCACCCTTGCAGCTTCAGTCAGAGCATTTCTGGTTTTGATCCCACAATTCTTGTAAGTACTGTTTCTTCCTCCTCATACCTTCGTACAAATCTGTTTCCCTAGAACAACTGATCCAAAGACCTCCAAAATCAGCTGAGGTCTTTTTCTGGTGTTTGTAGTAGGCTTGGCACTGAGCCCGTAATGAACCTGTTTGATAGATCTGAAAATACACCTTACATATCAGGTCATGTGTTGAGGAAAGGAGCTTCGGATGCAAGAAGGAGGCATCATGGCTTTGTGTGGCTTTTCTGAGGTGCTGTTTATATGCAAAACACAACAGAGTCAATGGAACAGCTGTGAAGCACTTTAAAAGAGTTTTGCAAACTAACTGATCACCAGAAAGCAGTTCAGGAACCATAGTGGTAAAGTGATTTTGTTCAAGCTCTTCTGCCTGGAAAAATCGGTGTCAAATTTATGCAGCCAGACAAAGAACAAGTATCAGCATCTGTTGCTGAAGGTGCTGGTCTTTGTACTTGCACTGTAAACAGGCTGATGAATATTAAAATACCCAAGTATCCAGGTTTACAAATCCTAAAAGTAAGTATCAGTTACATGCATACTTTTGTACTTGACATCGGTTGATCTTTGCAACAAAATCCCTCAGTGCATGGCTGGAGAAAGGTTGGGTCAGGTTTGCAGGAGACACTTAAGTCTCCAGTGTAAGATCTGTCAGCAACTCCCTGGAGACAGACCAGCACAAATCTGCCCAGGCCAGCAATGTGGCAGTGGTTAAAGTATGGAAAAAGGGAAGGGAGGGGGAAGCAAGGCTCAGTGGTCAGTATAGCTTTGCTGTATTTCTGCTGGGCAGACTGGCAGTGGCAGAGCAGGAGAGTGCTGGGTGAACTCTGTCTGTTTTGCTGGTTCTAGGGCTGCTGCTTGCATTAAGAGAGTTTTAGGGTGCTAGGGGTACAGCCGCTCCACAGCTGGTCTGAGGAAAAGTTCCAACCCAAGAGGAAGGTGACCCTTTATTTGCTCATTTGTAATTAAGCTCCAGACTTTACTGTTTGAGGCACCCCAAGATCATAATGAGTTGCTTATCAAGAAATAAACAGAAAATTCAGAACTATTGCTGCGTGCAGTAGTTTGGAGCTTGACTGCCTCATTTTTTAATACTTGGTGGCCAGTTTTCTCTTTTTTTTTTTCCCCTTCCACAGAGCTTCCCTGGAGTGTAACAAAACTGCTGGGTACTGCACCGTGGCCTGTTTTTCCTATTAAAAAGTTATCGTAGCTTTGTGGACTGAGAGCTACAAATCACTCAAGTGCAGAAGTGCAGCAGTGTGGCAAATTCATTACTAGGTGTGACTCCTGCGGTCTTTCAGCAACCTCCCTGCCTCCTGGTTATGTGACTTGTTTGCATCGGAGGCGGTCTCAAAGAGGAACAGCGCAGGGGGAATACGGGGAGAGGGTTCAACTTTGTGTTGTTGCTTCTCATTGAGAGAAACGTTCTCCCTTAGAAGTGAGTAAGGGTCTTATTTGCAGTGGGTTTTCTGTCAAGGGAGCTGCTGGAGCATTGGCTCCTAAGTCACCTCTATCAGCATGTGTTTCCTGGGACATATTTGCATTGCCTGTAACTGTCTTTCACAAAGGTAGCTTGCAGATGTATGGGGGGAGGGAAAGGTAAAATCATTTTGAGCCTTTGCGATATTTAGTATCAAAAGAAGCCCTATAATGTGATGCTTTATGTTACTGAAGTATATGCAATTAGCTGTCGTTAGAAGCAAAGGGCGTCAGGATAGAGCCTAGAGTAGGATTCGGAGTTCACCTGAGCGTGAGTCCAAGGGAGAGCTACGAGGATGATCAAGGGACTTGAACATCTCTCCCATGAAGAGAGACTGAGAGAAGTGGGACTGTTTAGCCTTGAAAGGAGAAGGCTGAGAGGGGACCTTATTAATGTACACAAATATCTGAGGGGTGGGTGTCAAGAGGAAGGGCACAATCTCTTCTCAG